GGGGGGAAGAGTCCTTAAAGGTATAGAAATTTAGTGGGAGCAGTGCTGTTCAGATAAAACGGGCCTCTCTGAAGCTTAGGGATACCTGGGTCCCTAAGAATGGCTGCATTAAACTACTTTGGTTCATTTACTAGACTTAGACTCTCTGGGGAAACACTTTGCTAGTGAGTGCATTTCAATTGCTGACTACATGGGATTTTTAGACAATCAAGGTATAATTTTCATTCCTCTAAGGACAGATAAAGCACAGTTTTTTTAACACCTTAAATCCCTGACTGATTTCTTCGAATTCTGCCATTAATTTCTGCAGGCCAGAACCTACCTCTCGAGTTTCACTTTCCTCAAGCGTCATATTTTTGGACTTTCCTATCCAATTCTACATCTCAGCCATGCCTTCTGGCCTTAGATCTCGACTCTAAATTCTAGGGCTCCCTGACAAATCTGAACCAAGTCTCACACCACCATTACCCCTGCTCTAAGCCTGCTATCCTAGATCATCTTAAAGCCTGCCGGTTTCCTCAGCATGTACTTGTATTTAAAAATGGCCAAGAAACGTGTATATATAAACTACTAGCAGCCATCTTCCCAAAGAGTCTGGCTTAATCAGAGTATCTGGGGTCCTACCAGAATACAAATTCCTAGGGATCAACACCAGAGCTCCTAACCTGAAATTTTCTTTTTAAACAGATTTTCCATTCAGACGTGGAGGGAGTTTGGGGCACCTCATGGATGGCAATACTGTCTTCCTCCATGACACACATACCCTCAATCTCCTAACATAAAAAGTAATTAAAAAAAAAGTTGATACCCTCTTTCCCTTGAGAATGCTTTGCCTAAGGAAAATAATAACCTACTTTTAAAAGGACACACAAATAGATTAATGTTACCAGTCAAGCACTGTAAAACCCTCACCGTCTCTGAGCTCATGCTCACCACTACACTATTTCCTAAGGACCAGCGATAAAAAATAGTGAGAACTAGTCACAGGGGGAGATACCCCCATAACTAAGGGTGTGGGGTCATTCTTACAATGACTCTGAGATGCCCATTTATGGAAAGGAAGGCACCTTATATTTTGTTATATTTCCGTGATTCTGGAATTCACTTTTCTGTGTCCACATCTCTAGAACCTGGACAATCCATACAAGTGACAGCGTCTTACAACTACCCGGCAGCATTTCCCTTTTTAGAAGCAATGAAGTAACAGTGTGTCCTACAACCAATGGTATCTTAGGCTCAATAAAATGCGGTAAAAACACTAATTATTCTGCTGTCACCACGGATAGTTCCTCTAAGAACTCTGGTTAGGAAACACTTGACTAGTCTCATCTGAATTACATGGTACCTGAAGGCTGTGTACATATTTTTCTTTAAAAAAATAACAAAAAAAACCTGTAATTATTCACTGACGTTACTACCCACCCTCTTCCTCCAAGCTGGTCAGTCTTACAACTAGTAACTGAAAATAAGACCCAACAGAAAGCTCGCTCAAGGCTGTCACGTACGTGGTAGCTCTTTCTCTGGGCCTCATTTATAAACCAACAAGGAGATGAATTCCAAGGCTCCGCTTAGCTATAAGGTCTGGGGTCCTACAACCTTAACTACAGCAGTACCTCGGTTTTCGAATGTGACCCGTTCCAGAAGCCCATCCGAGCTCTGAAATGTTCGCAAACCGAGGGATCCACAGCCGAGAGCTGGGCCTCAGGATCCTGCCCTCAGCAGAAACCGCGCAGCATGTTCGACTTCCGAGGAGGGTTCAAAAACCAAAGCATTGCCGCCCGGGTTTACGGCGTTGGAAATCCGAGATGTTCACCAACGGAGACGTTCGAAAACCGAGGCACCACTGCGCTTAACTACTAGTACTGACCTCACTGCCAAGTTTCTCATTTTCACTCCGTAGCTGAAAATCGACAGATCCTAAGAACGCGGTCAATAGGTTTATTCTGTCTGTCAAACTAAAACGAGCTTTATTTTGTCTGTGATATAAAACGAGGAATGGGGAGTAAAAAGCCAGGTAGATCCTTGGGGAATAAGGATCCCAAGTGCTAAAAACCCACCCGCACTTCTGACAGTTCACAGGCGAGGATGACCTTCAGCTACTTTTGGTGGTAAACCTACTTTCAGTTACCAACACACTGTGACTTTATTACATGCTATAAATAATCCAAAAAATAGGCCAATTATCAATTTTGACTTCCAAGACCTATTGTGATGCTCGTTCTCTAATCTTTTCAGTGTTATTTTTAGGAGGGAAGGAAAAAGGCGGGCGCTCGGGTGGAGTTAAGAGGGAGAGGTGCTCGGTGTGAGCCCCGGGAAGCCCCAGCAGCTCCTGGGGGACCAGCAGCTCGGCTCTAACAGCAGGAACTCAGAGGGGCCTCCCAGCGCTCTCCACAAAACCACCCTCGCTCGGCCAAACGATGTAAAGTCAGTTGCCTGCTGCCTGCTGATCAGTTTATTAAGTATATTATTATTCATGCAGCTCAACACTACGGAAGTAAAATAAAAAGGTCACCAGGAAGTAAGCAACCGAGTTACTGCCAGCAGTTAATGCTCCTTTCTGTCTCTGCTAAACTGCCCGAGAATCTTTCTTCAACACTCTAAACATATTTGGTACTTTTAAAAAACAGTAACAAAGAAAAGGGGCACAGGAACTCTGCAACTTTTACATTTCTGGCATCAAACAACTTTTTCTACTGGTTTAGTTTCGGGAATTCTCAGGTTTAGACAAACCCTGAACCAGAAAACTAAAATATATTTTACTAAGTATCACTACTTCCCAGCTGCCCGTGTCACGGGGCTCTCCTCCTCCATGAGCATAGAAGGCTGATGGTCTCTTAGTTTTGGGTGACATTAAATTTTACCTCAAGCGGATAAAAAAGCAGCAGCAATGCGGGTTAGACCCGGAATTAATTATGAATACAATAAAACCCTGTGATAAAGCACCCCGTGACAAATGTAAATTGTGTTACAACTGACAGGCAACTGGTTTGCCTTCTGGCCAGGCCCACATTCTTAAATGGGGGCAGTAAAACGTATTCCTCTGCGAAGCAGAGGAATGGCAGGAAACCCATCAGGAGAAACAGGAAGCAAGGTGGGGGGCACTTGTGTTCCCAGTGTGCACGCCGCTGCAGCTCCCTGGACTGGGTGGATGGTAACTGGCACCGTAAATTGCAAGATTCCTGAAATAGCTGTTTTCCCAGAAGCTCGGCCATCTCCCAGATCCAGCGTGGTCCATACAGATACTTAAGGGGGAGGAAACTACCGCAGCCAGGCAGTGTCACACAGGGACACGAGGGGCCAAGCAGGCAGTCTTGCCAGCAGCACGCCCACCCTGCCTGGCCCGTCATGAACTTCACAGTAACGCAGCTCTGATGTTACGGGATGAGTGATCTGCACAGCACTTGTTACTTTCTGATGTGGTTTTATTGTACCACTCTTGTCCTCCCGTTTAAGACGACATGCACACTTATTATGGGCTATCTCCACACTGCCCTGGTTCCTATGCTCTGGTCTTTCCCCAACATCCACTTACTTCTGAATGGAGGAACTTTTGGGGTTAGTTGTGCAGATCTAGAAAATCTATTCTTTTTCAAAGAGAGAAAGATCATTCATTATAAAAAGACAACCAATACTTTGTGGAACAGACCAATTAAGTTGAACAGGAACGACAGAAGTGTAAGACTTATATTTACAATAAAAAATGTCCGGAGACTTGACCTTGGGTGGCAAACACAATACAGTGTACAGATGATGTATATGGAATTGTGCACCTGAAACCTACATAATTTTATTAACCAACGTCACCCCAACGAATTCAATAAAAAACAGAAAACATGCCCATGTTTCGTACATTGCGCTTATAAACCGAATTCCCCCAACCGCGTCGCGGTGACTAGCATCTCTCTAGCACTGCCTTCGGTGGCGGCCCACTTACCCGGACAAGCGCGTCGTCTATGATGTGGTCGCGTCTGACCTTCAGTCTCAAGTACGGGTTCAGCTGCTGCCCCTGGACGAGGCTGTAGAGGACCGTGATCCGGCGCTCGCTGTACATGCGGATCCGGTTGTCGTAGTACAGCCCCAGGTTCTTGGTGACCGCGTTGAGGATGAAGGGGCAGGTCATGAAGGAGAACTTGTTCTCCGTCTCCACCTTGAAGAAGGTGTAGTCCTTGTCCATCTCCAGGACGTCGTTGAGCGGCTCGTTGACGAACTCCTCGAAGGGGATGAGCGGCGCGCGGCAGTCGAGCGTCTTGACGCCCAGCTCCGTCTCCAGCGGGTCCACGCGCGGGCCCTTCTTGCTGCGCCGCTCCTCGCCCAGCAGCTCCTGCAGCGTCAGCTCGCTCGACTCGGGCACCGGCTCCTCGTCGTCGTCCTCGTTGTGGCCCGTGTCCACCTCGCCGCCCACCACGTTCGCGTAGTAGACCATCTTCAGGCACTTGGACGCCGCCACGATGGCGTCGTCGTCGTTGACCAGGTTGCGCTCGCCGCCGAGCGCGCGGCTGTTGAACTCGTTGCTGATGACCTTGTAGGTGATGAGCTGCTGGAAGGTCTCGAGCATGCGGCGGATCTGCTCGGCGCTGAAGCGCGCCCACAGGCGCACCAGGCGGCCCTGCGCCGCCAGCGGCAGCTTGCTCATGGCCTTGCAGAAGAGCGGCAGCGCCATCTCCAGGTACTCGGGGCTGTGCAGGTTGCGGTTCTCCATGACGATGACGAACAGGTTCAGGTAGCTGGGGTCGCGCGCGTACACGTTGTGGTAGGTCAGGTCGCACTCCACGTTGGGCGACAGGTACACCAGCGCGTTCAGGAAGGCCGTCTCCACCTTCTCGTTGGCCAG